AAGACGAAACGCGTCACAAGTAAACTTTTCCACTGTCATACAATTTTTCCAACACTGTTCTTGATATATAAAAATCTATATATATATATATATATATATATATATATATATATATATATATATGTATGTATGTATGTATGTATGTATAATTATTTTAGGATCTCAATTTTTGTATATTTTATATTCATTAGAGTGTCAAAGAATTTAGAATAATTGCAAAAGGCGAAGATCTCAAAATAATAACTATTGTTAGTCTTGAAAAGTACATTGAAAATTAAATTGTAACTTCCCTTTTTATTTTATAGAACTTTCGAATTTTTTCCTAGACCTTAAGTATTTTAATCTGTCTAGCTGTTTGTTTTCCCTTTTTCTTCACTTCATCTATATTTCTTCTTATTATTATTATTATTGTTAATATTATTATTATACTTTTTCTATATCGTTATTATTATTATTATCACCATCATCATTATCTAATTATTACTTAAAAAATGCCTTTTTTCTCCTGCTTTTTACTCTTCAAAAACTTTTTTCTTATAGCAGCGTAATTTCTATTTTTTTTCTCTTTCTTCATCTTTACCCATATTTTTCCTTCATCTTTTTTTTTTGACTACTTCTTCTGTACATCATATGTTTCCAATGATGTCTTATTCAGAAACGAACCCAAGACCACCTCGGAGTCCTGATTCTCCAAATCTTCATTTAAAGAAAATCCAAACCGGATTTGCTTGCTCTTAACTTGTGATTCAAAACATCCACTTAAGCTACCCACTATTCTGCCCAACCATCTAGCAGATAGGGCTATAAAATTTCTGATTTTGCTTCTCCAGGCGGTTACCCACACGGATAGAAATGAAAAAAGAACGCGGAATTACAAAGAAAAAAAAACAAAAAATGGTTGGAATCGACAAAAAAATTATTCACACGAAACACTAAGAGGGAGAATTATTTTCGAAGTACGAAAATTTCGAATTTCTTTGTAAATCTTTTTTTTTTTTTTTCTTTTAGAAATTCTTTATATTTTGGTGTGTATTTACTTACGTCAATAAACATTGATATATTATTTATATTTTTGTATGTAATATCTGTAAGTTAGCCTCGACATAAATCTGAAAACCACGAACACAACAAGTGTAGTAATGAAGAGATTAAAAACAGCGTAGACAGATTATTTTCATCTGGACGAAATTCTCCTTGGCAAAAGAGTATTATACGTTACAATTCACAAATATGACTGACGATACTTGCCACCAACTCAGTAAGATTATAAGATAAAACTTAGTCTAGAACTCCTCATTAACATTTCTTTAGTAAGAAGATAAAAAAAAATCAGAAAAATAAACAAATAACACTTGACAAAATTGAAAGCTAACATTAGTAACCGAGTTGCAAATTATTGTCATGAATATTTTATTTTACGATTGTAAACTACACCAAATCAACTATTTTTATCTATAGAGTGATGAATAAACTGATTACATATAAACAATATATCATTTTATGAACGATTTACCAAAATAGAAGATAAGTTGCAGAGAAAATTTCTCAGATACCGTATTTAATCAGGTTTTTATATCCTTCGTCAGTAGAATGAAACAACAGCAATATATATATATATATATATAGAGAGAGAGAGAGAGAGAGATGCACAAGAGCAGAGGGACTAAAAGTGATCGCATAAGGAATGAAACTGACGGTCTCATATATGTATATATATATATATGTGTGTGTGTGTGTGTTTAGGCAGCATATCTTCATTCAAATGTGTTTCATTGAATAATATAGACATATTGCGTGTACTAATTTTTATACTGGTCCTTTCTAGTTGTCTAGCCAGTTTCTTGACGTTAAGATGAAATTCATCAAGGAAGGCGCCGTAATTTCTTTTAACCCATATACTTTCGATCTTTTCTAGGATCATCTTCAAGGGTAAATTACGAAGAGAAACTTATTGTAATTGCGATAAAATCTGCTTTCTGTTGTAATTTATAATTTAAAAAACACGCGCGAACGCACTCTGTTATAATTATCTTAAAATTTTAAATTCATCTGTTGTAGTTATGGAAGTTTTTTTCAAAACAATCGTTTCCATACATGGGAACTGCTCGGAAATTGGTAGACATGTAAAATGCTATTAAACCATAAAGGCATTTAATATGTTGTTATATTCGGAATAAACTTTGTTGAGTTTTGGTTGGCTGATTTTGATATAGAGGCCCTCAAGAATTTGAAGTTTTTGTTTATTTTCATGGTTTAATATATAGGTGTTGTCAACAAGTATTTTTCTGTATTGTGAAGGTGGACAGCAATGTGTTTTTAGATGCTATGAATAGAACTTGTGTCCGACAAATGAAGTGTAAGACATCTTGATAATGTTGTGGTAATCAAGCCAATATATGTACTTATGTTTTTGTCAGAGATTCAACCTACGAAAGGACATTTAAACTGACATACAATGTTTTTTATTTCCAAAACACTAGTTGATATGTTTAGGGTTATTTGAGGAAGTATTATGTTCTTTTTTTTTATTTAAGTTAATATATCTAATGGCTCGTCTAATTTGTTCATCAACAATGACATTAGAAAAGTCCTTTTTAATAAGAGTTTATTTAATATTTTTTTAATTCGATGTAATTTTTTTTTTTTTTTTTTTGCCGTTGAGGAGTTCAAGTCAAGCAAAAGATCGCTGTAGTCAAACATAATGTGCAATGACAAACCTCCTTGCGAAATTTATTGATTTAAAATCGTTCAATTACTTTTTCTTTGGAAAATGACTTTGCAAAACTGTTCAAAATCTCCTTTTCTGAAATTTACATTTTATTTCATGCAAAGTTGTCCAATGTTCCATCGACCGTATATTTTCAGACTCACTTGATATAGTAAGATATAATAATGTAATAATACTGAATAAATACAAAAGATAAAATTATATATATATTAGTAACTATGTATGACAAAGTGGAAAAAGTTTACTTGTGACTCGTTTCGTCCGATGACAGGACCAAATAAAAACATGATGTTCCTGATGCTAAGTGTCATTCTGAAAAGGCTGCAAGCTTCAATTGTTAAACTTGAAGTTAAAGTAAACATGAATACAATTTGTATTGCACAAAATCGGCTTTAAAAAGCCTTGCCCAAAAGTATACACTTTAAGTCAAGACTGACTTTTGTAAAAGTACACATCAGTGACTCAGATGGTATGTGGCGCAAGGTATTTTAGTTAGATGAAACTAAAGTATAATCATTTGGCCATAATTCAGAAACCTAAAAATAGTAGATAATTAACACCGTTCACTCTCCAGTAAATACTATGCCAACTGTTGGGCACGTGGTTGTATTTGTAATGCTTTGGGGGTGTGCCTCTGTGTCTAAAGGAAAATGCGCGAGTCACCACTAAGAGAGCAATAACATTCTAACATTCTTGAAAAGAATCTCTTGTAATAAAAAAAAAATCTCCATTTAGATTACAATTTTCACTTACAGCTAGAGAGTGAGTCAAAACATACAACCAAAGATAGTCAAGTATTATTCAGAAATCAAAATTCCAAATTAGCCAATCCACACCCAGATTTCTACTGAAAATTTATGATGATCGTTCAATCTGTATAGCAGGATAAGACTCTTCTATAATAGAATTTTAGAAGCAAGTAGTTGTTGTGTGGTACTGTTAGGACAGTTGAGAAAATTAACAAGAGGGTTTTCTTTTCTCCATTTAAAAGAAAATAAAACAGTGGAACCTCCATCGCCTGACTGATTCAACTCTGACACTGGCTACATAGTCAGTCAATTATGTGCCATGCGTGATACACGCTTAGGCGATCATGTATCTTTCGATACATGACTGACGAGGCAGAGTTTTTTCCTGGTTTCACAACATAACGAAAATCTTATCAACTTTTTTTTCACCCTATGCAAAGGCCGTAAAGCCACTAAGACACAAGGGGGTTATTGAGTGCGAAAGAATTAAGAAACAGGAAGATTATTAAAGAGCGAGAACAAAAGAAGAGTAATAACGATTGACATTGCATTTAAATTTTGAAGATCAAAGTTGGCTAGAAAGTGAGAAGTGCGAGAAAAAAAACTGTTAGCATAGAAGTTATGTTTATATCTAGCTGATTCAACTGTAAATTGATGTGGCTTTGTTGCTAATCTAGTATTGCGCTTAAATTCATAAATTTTTGGTGTACCATAACGAAGGGCTCTTCCAAACAATTACCATGAAAGTATTTATAGAAAAAGAACAGGGAATCAAATTTACGGCGGCGATAGGGAAAATGACTGAAGCCGAGCCGCCATATCAGAATCATTCCATTTCTCACCCATTTCAATCATAGCTTTGATGAAGTAGGCCAGAAACGAAAATCACTTGTATAAAACTGAATAAACACCAGGCAATTCCTGTTACAACCATTCCAAATACAGTCTATTTCTGTTACATGTTTTGGTTGAACAGAGATAAGAACCAAAAACATTCGACAAGAAGAAAGAAAGAAGTGACCAGTTATTTTGCCGACCCCCCCCCACCTTTTAAAAGATGACCATTCATTTGATAAACAGAGGAAGATAAAAAAAGGCAACATTGTATATCAGATTCACATCAAATTCTATGAAACTTGAACAGATTTATAGATTTACCATGAACAATAGCATGCTGTACCGCCTGCTCGATAGGAAAAACATGTATTCGCTTGGAATGAATGACTGAAATATGAAGCTTCCACTAAATATTAGTCAAGTGAAATGTTATTTTTGAGTAAAAAATAAATCAATTCAGTTACGCACAAACCTTTTTTGTTTATATTGGAAAATGTTAAGCAAAATGTGTTTATTTGATACAAAACAGATTCGCCAATAACATGCAATTTTACAAGCTTTCCTTAGAGATATCGTAGATTTTTGCCACCAACTGTACATGTCAAAATATGAGCCGAGAAACAAACAAAAAATAAAACTAGTTAAAAAAATTTCACGTCACTTCTTCGACACTTTTCTGGTGCAAAATGCCATCCCCCCCTTTTCGTTCCTATCAATCTACACATGTGTAATACTTTCTTCATCTGGTTTCTGACAGAAGAACAAGGACCTCGCATTCCCATCTTTTACATCCACCCCCGCTAAATCATGAAACTGCTTATCAAATACGCGTCGACGTGTTGGTATTCTACCTTGAACTGTTCGGGTCATTTCTGCGTAATTCCGAAACAAGGAGTTTCCATGTGAGAAGTTTTAATACTCAATGTGAAACGCAATTTCTACAATGGGAAACTTCTAATAAATAAATTGGCAAATTTCCATCGGACGATATCGAGAAAATTAGTGCAATGCCTGGGTGCTTAAAATGGTTAAAGATTACTTCTTTAAATATACAATTTCAATCCACTGATGCCTATATAAAAAATTATAAAAGTAAACTGATGCCTATATAAAAAATTATAAAAGTAAACTGATGCCTATATAAAAAAATATCACAAATATCTACATAAATATTAGATTAAGTAATGTCCAAATTTAGAATGAGAAAGAAAACCTAAGAAATTCCTATTTAATTAGAATTTATTAATTAACATAGGTTGCATCATTGACTTTCATTCAACGATTTATCAAGATGGTTCAGTAGACATCAGAATAGCTTGAAATCAGATGTAGTAATATTTGAAAAATAAGGAAGGTATGGAATTTTTTTCGCCCGGCCAATGTTTTAGCTTTTCTTATGTGATTTTTGCTGTATAGGACCAAGTCTTACCGCGATGGAAAACCACACCTTTTCGATTTAGCAAACCGTATCTTCAAAACCCGTATTTAATACTCTAACTGCTGATGTTTTGATGTAATGATAACATTAACTGGTAGCAACACAAAATGGATGACACGAACACAATGTCAAACACCAAAACTTTCCTTGGATGGACGTCCATTTGGAGTTGTGATTTAATCTAATTGAGCTTCAAGAAGTAATTTTTGCTTCGTTTCAAATTTTTTTTAAATATTCATTTTTCATCATCTGTCACAAATATGACAAAAATCGTTCACAAAAGTGCAGACATTCACTCTTGCTGTACGGTTGTCTTTTTGTTATCATTTCACCCCAAGCAAGGCAAAAACTCACTAAGACGCAAAGGGTTACTGTGTGTTAGAGAATATGAGAAAAAAAAACTATTATGAAGAGAGGACAATAAAAGAATAGGAGTCAAAAGGCAGAAGATAACGTTAAAACTTCTGTTAATTCATGGTAAGCCATTTATAAAATTGAGTAATATTTCCAAGTTTATATTGCAGATTGTTTCTGAGTTAATCCTTTGACTAATCCTATTTCTGACCTAATCCTATAATTACTATTTCTATTGAGTTTCAACAAAAATGCACGATCGTTAAGGATGACGACCTAATCGCGATGGATCGCTTAAACAGGGGTCAACTTTTTCAAACCCTTTCAGAGCATCTTTGGGAATTTCTTTAAATAATCTATCCCATAATCACCATGAATATTTCGAGTTGAATTTGCAGTATTATTGTCTTTTCTAATCTTCATAATTAGATCTCGAAGATACGACCATGTTTAGGAAGGACAAGTAGCTAAGTTAGTGAAATCGTAATATAACGACGTAAAATACTCGTTTAAAACTTTATAAACATGCACTAAACTTTATTATTATTTACATATTTTATAACAGTGAAAATATTCAATCTATCACTATCAGATATATATATATATATATATATATATATATATATATATATATGTGTGTGTGTGTGTGTGTGTGTGTGTGTGTGTGTGTGTGTGTGTGGTGTATCAAAAATACTTTTACAAAATTTGGGGCATGTTTCTCACACCAAAACAAGGACAAAGTGTGTGTGTGTGTGTGTGTGTGTGTGTGTGTGTGTGTGTGTGTGTGTGTGTGTGTGTGTGTGTGTGTGTGTGTTTTATTGCGTGTGTAATCTCATAAAGTGACTTTTCCTTTATCATAAAATTTGGAATATAGTTTTGAAATCAACGTACTTTTTTCTTTTCTTCTGCGTTTGTGGCTCAAATTTTACGGATAATTTTTTTTTTATATATAAAATGGATCAACCAAAATAAAGAAAGGCAATCTAAAAACAACATTATATTATCCTTACCCTGTGTTTGAAATTATCAGTTTTTTCGGGGGGTTGGGGGGCTCACTTGAAGCCATCTCAAATTTGAGAAACAACTTTGTATATAAAAACATCAAGCTTTTTACATTCCCCGAACGCAGTACTTATCAGAATAATATACACCCTACCAGGAAATAATTTTTTTTCTCGCTGTATTTTTTCTTTATAGAAGATATTGAATTAGAATCAATCTAAACTCTTTCTCAAATGGTTCCTCACATTTCGAGAACGATACTTCCAGCAATGTTTTTCATTTTACTACGCTTAAAACTTTTGATGGCGAAAAATAAGTAAAATATTACTAGAGTGAAAAGTCTTGCTGGCTTTGTGTAAAAACAGTTGATAAGATTTGTTTTGCTGTCGAGGTAAAAAAGGGTCATACTTTGATTTGATTTAGGAATTTTATTTCTTATTTTATTTTCCTTGGCTACAAGACGAATATATGTACGCATATATGTACGCATGTGTGTATGCATGTGTGTATGCATGTGTATGCATGTGTGTCAATAGACGAAATGAACTAACGTCAAAGTATCGCCTTTATGAATGATTATCGACATTTATAAATTATGAGGGCGGTGTAATGGTTTGCAAGCTTGTCTCACTTTAAGAATTACGACTGAGTAGTGAGTTCGATCCTCACTGGATATCTCAGGCTTTCGGCACTGTGCCACATCTAAGCTACACTTGGAAAATCAATATAAATCCCTTTTCTCTATTGATTACTCAGTCTTTCTTTTTTATAATTTGCTTTACTTTTAATTTCTTCTTTATTACGGGCTCTTTTTTTTCATCTTCCTCTCTTTCTCCCTCTCTCTTTGTCTCTCTTCATTTCTCTCTGCCTCACTCTATTTCCTTCTTTCTGGCTATCTCCCCTTTCTCTCTATCGCTATTTCTCGTTCGCACCCTTTTCACGCTCCCTCCCCCTCTCTCTCTCTCTCTTTATTTATTTCTTTTTCACACCCTCTCCGTTTCTCTCTTTCTCACTTTTTTCTCTATCTATATCTCTCCGTTTCTCTCTCTCTCTCTCTCTCTCTCTCTCTCATTCACCTTATCGCTGTTTTTCTTGCTCTCCCCACCCCTGCGACCGTCACTCTTACAATCTTTATATCCATCTCTCTCTCTTTCTCGCTCTCTCCACCTCTTTCACTTTTCTCTTACCCTCGCTCTTCTCTCTTTCTCTTTCTTATTCTCTCTCAATTTCTCGCTCTCTTTCTCTCACTTCCTGAACTTGATACATTTTCTCCCCTCTTCCCTTATTCTTCATCATTTTAATGCCTTTCTTTCCTACTTTTAGCTTCTTTGTAAGTGAATACTTTAAAACTTATTTAACTGTCTGGAGACAAGTTTAACTTTGGTCAACCTGCTTTTAAATCAAGACTGTATTCTTAACTTCAGTTGGTTTGTCATTACCAACTTGATATTTGTTACGTAACCTTTTTCCTTTTTAAATTACAATACGCTTCTGTTCCATTTTGGTGTGACATGGTATGATTTTTATATTTTTTTTAGCTCAGATAACATTATCATAAAATGTTGCAGTCTAAAAATAATGAGATCGAGCTTAACTAAAACGCTCTGCCCTCCCAGAAGAGGGACATTCAGTACATTATAAATAATGAACGACGCAAATGTTAATAGAGTCTCAGCACACATTCATTCACTTCTTTTCTTTTTTTTTTAAATCAGTATCACCCATGTAAGGCAGTAAAGCCACTAAGACACAAGAGGTTACAGGGTATGAAAGAATTAAGAACAGAAACATTAATAATGAGCGGGAAGAGGAAAGAATAATCAGAAGGACAGTAGATAGCAATTGACATTTAAATTTTTGCAGATTAAAGTTGGCTTAAAAGCATGGAGCCGGAAGGAAGTTCCACAAGCGAGAAGTGCGAGAAAAGAAACTGTTAGCTTAGAAATTACGGTTATATCTAGCCAGCTCAGCTGTAAATTGATGAGAACTCGAAGCCAGTCTAGTACTGCGCTTAAATTCAAAAAGTCTAGGTGCTATAGGGAAGAGCTCATCTGAACAATTACCATGAAATTATTTATTGAAAAGACATAGGCAATCTTACGGAGATGACTGAAGCCATGATGCCAGATCAGGACCAATAATATTGCTGATTCTTCTTTGGGTTTTGTTAAAGAGCTCAAAGTAAATAACAGGGACACCAGACCATATGTGACACAGTGAATCAGCTTTCTTAGCAGTTGACCTAGTGATGGATTCAACATTTTTCCACTTCATGTCAGCGGAATAAAGACAGGAAAATATTAATTTCATTTCATTTCAAAATGTTGACTTAAAAGAAAATATTTTTACTAAAATTTTAATTATAATAAATCTAAGAAATATATATTGAGTGTCTCAGCCATTGCAGAATTTTCAGTGAAATACAAAAACGATCTTTATTCAATAAATGCATAAAACATTAACGGAAGCTTGGGTTCTAAATATAAATTTAATTCTATTCAATATCGAATTTGTATTATATATTATGGCGTTATATTATGTGTTTCAATTTAAAACAAGATTTTTGAATAGTGACCCACCATTAGAAAGGGGTTACATCCTATGAAACGACTGACGTTAACTGTACAATTCATTTATTCAATATATCAGGATGTTTGCTCTCTCTGTCTCTCTCTCTCTCTCTCTCTCTCTCTCTGCTCTGTCGCTATTTCCATTGAAAGTTTTCAGACGAACTATATTCCTTAGTTCCACCAGTTCATTGCTAAGATCTGCTATGCCACGCCCATTTTAGCGAGCCACTCTCAATCCCTTCGTATCCCATTGGTGAGATATAAGTTCCACACGGGTAGCTTTTTTCACGAACCGCTGATTTGTGAAACCGACTCCTAAGAGTCAGTTTCCTCGATAAAAATCTTAATCTATTTGAATCTAAGGTTAATTGTTCTCCATATATATACATAAACAGAACCTCTTACTCTGTAACCCTCTACCTCGAGTGGCTTTCGGGCTTTGCACAGGATGAACATCATTGTAAAAAATAATTTCTTTTTTATGTTCCTCATAGTCTTGATTCCTCCATCGATTTTTTTCGAATTTCTCAAGAAGGTGACAAATTTTCTTTTTCTTAATTTATTTTTACTTTTGTTAATCTTACTTAACGTCGTATCAAACGACTTCAAAATAAAATCGTCAATCGTTCTTTGCTGATGATTTATTTTTCCCGTCACGGCTCATGTCTCATATATTTAAGGTTTGAACGTGACATCACAAGGTCAGGTGAGGTTAAGTTAGGTTATCATGAGCTTTCCTTCCGTTTCTCGAAATGAATGCGTGAACATGCTCTGAGAGATAGGCGCCCGTTTGTTGATAACACCTAGTTAAACCTTTGCTATTTCAAGGCAGATACAGAACAGCCATATTGGCAAACATAGACTTCTCTTCTCTAATCCTTTTTTTCATCTTTCACTATAATTTTCTTTCCATTTGAGCCCAACAGTAGTTAATTTAATTGGTAATTAAAACCTGAAGAGTGGGTTGATTATGATAGGAGTAATCCATATGACTTGATTAACACAGGCATACTACAGATTAAATAAGCATCCATTTCAAAACAAGTGTCTTTATTTAATGATCGAAAGTCATGTTTCATTATGAAAATTTAAAGTTGATGGAATTACCATATCCGAGTAGGCCGCTTACAAAATAAGAAAGAAATCTTTTGTAGATTTTCTGGATGCTTCAAACCTAAAATAGAACAGACGTAATTTATGTCATTTCCGACTAGACATTCCCGACCAGACATTCCCGACCTTTTTATTTTTTTACATGGTGCAGTGTTCCATCCTCCAATAAAAGAATGGCCTTTTTGTCCAAATAAATGACACTGAATATTGAGAGCTTCTTTGCGCAGAAAGAATATGTATTTTCTTTAACTGTCATTTGCTACTCTCATCTGAAGCCCTTAAATGACCACTGTTTCAAATTACCCTTCCCACTATGATTGATATTCTGCTATGTTTGAAAACGAGTAGCGGACAGTACAAATGTCTTAGGTAAACAATAACTAAACCCATACTCAACCACTATTTACAAGAATGATATTATGTCAAAATTCCAACGGTCTTTCAATTCATCTCAGTTACCCAAAACTGAATTTCAGTTAATTTACGAAATGCCTTTCTTTTGGCCACTCTGTCATCATAATTCATGTTCTGAATACATCATTTAATTTCGATACTCTCTGTCAAATGTGTTTTTGTTTTCCAACGGGGGTGGGATATTCAATGTCCTATCTCACCACACGAAAACACCTTTCTGATTACGTTTCTGATGACTTTGAACTCCTAAACAATTTACGGTGGATTCTATTCTATTACAAGTTAAATTTATAGCCACGAGAACGTGGCATTCCCAGTTTGAATGATAACTGATTAATCCTAAAACAGAAAGCATAATAAGTATTATTACGTTTCATTTTTTTTTTTTTTTTTGGTGGTGAGAGCATTTTAATTTCAAAATGGGTAATTATCAATCTTTATTAAAATTCAAATCTGAATGTTTTTCCTTTTTTTATATTCTTTCACCCTTTATACCCACCCCGCGTCTTAGTGGCTTTATTACATTGCTTGGAGTGGCATAATTAAAAAGATAGTAAATTGATACCCTATATTCAATTATGTCATATATAATAATCTAATATTGTTGTATACTCTCCCTCTTTCGTGCTGGGATGTCTTGGTCATTGCGCCAATTAATACAATGTTGTATATTCCCCGTTGTTCTGGAGAGTCTTGATTCGATCATGATAAAATTGCATCCTTCTTTCACTTCTCTCGTCTTCTACCGGCCGGATGGCGAAACGTTTTGGGTGTCCAGAGATGCAAGACATCAACAAAAGTAATTTTAACTTATCTATTTTATTAACGTCGACGTATACATCTCCAAATAGCCAGTGGGGGCGCTCTCCCCTCTCCACTGGGAACAGATCCAGACACGAGGGAAACACGTCTACGTTGTATGACGGTTTAGAAATAACTGCCTGAAAAAAAAACCTTTCTATAGCTCTCTCATTCCCAATGCTCGTTCAACCAACCCCTGTCTCTCACAGGGTGGGATGTGGCGAACCTCTCACTGCTCTATCGCTACTTCCATGGTAAGCGCTCAGACTAACTACATTCCTTGGTTCCGCCAGCTATGATCTTCACGGGTAAGGACCCGCCATGCCAGTTACATAGTAACAAACCCACCCACATTCCCTCCGTATTCCATCGGGGGGAAATAAGTTCCACTCTAACAGCTTCTTCTTGAGCTTGATTTCTAAATTGAAGCTTTCTGAAATTTGAACTAGCAAAACCGAAGAGAAAGAGCCCCCCCTTAAAATTATGAACAAGACTTTCTATATCATTTTTTTTCGTTCTTTTTCTTTTATTCGCTTTTTCTCTCCCCATATAAATGTGCGTATGTACATAAAATTACTATATATAGGTTAAGTTTTCCCAGCTATAGGTTAAATAGTAGAGCGGAGTGGGCTCTTTAGTTTTGCTTTGCAATCGGTCTAGAAAATGAAAACTATGAATTCCTTAACCAGGGTAGATGGAATGTTCGCGTGGGAATACCAAGCCATCTAAATGAAAGAGACCCCCGACAGAAAACAAACACTTCCACGGTGTGTAGAGGTTGGGCATAGGGCCAATCACTTCACAAGAGTCTTTATGTACCACGAAGCAACAGGCAGATAACACATATCACATGAAGTTGAGATCCAAAGTTTGGTATGGTTGAATGAACAGATAGATAGATAGATAGATAGATAGATAGATAGATAGATAGATAGATAGATAGATAGATAGATAAAAATTCTCCATTAGAAACCTATTTTTATCCAGCTTCACTTTCGCATAGTTCTTCCCTCTCTACAGCAGCTGGCAAACAGCCATTTCACCTAGCCAAACCATTGGAAGTATCCTAGGTTGTTATCAGTTCTGTTGCTGAAACCTTTTCGACATGTCACGTAGCAAAAGGTAAAGTCACAGACGGCTGGATTCTTTTTCCCTCAATGCTCGCAGCTTCCGGTCTTTCAAATGCCATCCCCAGCCGGACTTCAAACTGATCGTTGACCTGCCTACAGCAAAAACCGTCTTGCCTCCCATGACCTCAGCTATAAACCTCAAGCCTAGCGCTGCCTTCGTAGATTAAACTAAACCAACGAAAGAATTTGCTTGAGCATCGATATTTATCTGAATGCCTTATCAGTAAACAGATTAGATGTTAACGAGAAAATTGCCGCGCAGCGCTAAAGAAAACAAGGATTTGAAATAGAAATA